ACCAGACCTCCCTCTACAGTAGTCAATGGATACTACTATTACCTTCTCAATAGTGAAATTAACAGGCCAACTTCTCAAATGTAGGGACTTCCTGGATAGCCACCCCAAGTGAAACAGGGTCCACAGTACCAAATGATTCTGAGGATATATATAGAAAAATAATGATACATATAAAAATCGTGGGCATCAGGTCACCCTGAAAACAAGACACGCATAAAGTGGGTATATTACCATAAATGAAGATCAAGAAGACTTCTGTCGACTTGAAATAAGATCAGGTCCTTGATGCTTTTCCAAGATACATGTAGGAGGTGGGAAGCCAGGTAGTCACAATACATGGATTCCAAACACATAAACTGTGTATATGGCGTATAGCAGGCTATGCAGGCCTGAGTTTTTAGACCCAATGTAGGGTTTCCAAAAATTACTCAAAATGAGAAGATTATTGCTCCATATACTATGTATATAGCATGTAACAGGCTGTACAGGCCTGAGTATTTATACCCAATAAAGGGTTTCCAAAAATTACTCAAAATGAGAGGGTTATTGCGGTTTCATGAGGATATGGCTATGTCACAGCACAAACCCTGAATAGGATAGCGTATATATATATATATATATATGTAGATCGTCCTCAAAAGAGGATTTACAAAAAATTCCCCGAGTACACAGGGTAATTTAGGCCCATATAGCATGCCCTTTTAATACCATAAATGCTCTATAGATCTCAACAGCCGTAAGCTAAAATAACTTGCCACCGGTGGAAGATAAATTTCCCTAAAAGATTGCCGTTTGCGGACCGCTGCAATAGTAGCCTTATGGTAGTTTTCAGAGGGTCAAGGGCCTTCCTAGCAGAGAGCTGTGACACCGCCGTTCCTTCCCGCCTCGTGGGCGCCGCACCCAGTGAAGACGCCGAGCGTAGTGACGTCAATACGTTGACGCGTTTCGTCCGCCAATCACCGCAGACTTCGTCAGAACTGGGAGGGGACTTCAGTACTTCGCCTTATATGGTGCTCTAATTGCATACCAAAGAGTCTCCACCTCGCCATCTTGTGTTGAAAGAGTATCACTACATTGGAATGATCCAAAGTGAATTAAAACACATATATAAATTTAAATTTAAAATGGTTGCTGGATATAGAAGGAAGGAGCCTAAATGTTAACAGTCAGATCAACTTCAAAAAAAGGAATTAATGATAAAGAGGAGATCAATATTAGCACAATACTTATTCTAAAGAGGAGAACATCAAGACCAAATCCCGTTATCTCAGCTTCAATATCAATCCAATTATTATAAAGATTTTGTTTTTATTATCTAAAGGACATAGGATCAAGTACAGGGTTAGGTTCATATTTTGTCCAAATATGTCCATATTCAATTCACATAAAAGATACCACAGTATAGATTATAGCTTGGGATATATAGGGGGTTCCAAAAGACTCATTTCAAAAAAACCCCAAAGTTAAGTTCTGTATTGAGTCCGTATGGGGCAAGTGCTCCCAGGGTATAGATCCAGAATTTTTCCTTTTGTAGGAGGACTTTATCAAAGTCACCCCGACGAGCTGAAATATTTAACAGAAAGATCCCTTTTACTTTTAGACCATCTGTTTTGCCCCCATGAACTTCTTTGAAGTGTTGAGCCAATGGATTTTCTTTTTCTCCCTTTCTAACATTACTATTTTTATTTCTGATATCTCTCAGATGTTCACCAATCCTCGTCCTAAGGTTTCTCTTTTAGTTTTACCTATATACATCTTCTTGCAAGGACATTCTATCATGTACACTATTTTGCTACTTGAGCAATTGATGAAGCTTCGTATTTGGAATATCTTAGAGTTATCATTATTAAAGAACTGATTAGACTTATGCACAAATGGACAAATCTGACAATGGCCACAGGGGAACATTCCATATACCCCAGTCCTCCTCGTTAACCAGTTTCTTTGTGGTGCCCTCTGGAATTCTGATTGTACTAGTATATCATTTAGATTCCGAGTTCGTTTTGCTACCATTTGGGGGCTCTCTCCTACTACTTTGGCTATCTGCGGATTTTGAGTTAATAAGTACCAATGGGAGTCCAGGGCCTTCTTAACCTCACCCCATTGTTGTCCAAATTTAGTTATAAATCTTACCGGTTGGTTTTCAAGGTTCTCAGCTAACTTTAATTTTGGTTTATTTATCAGTTCCTCTCTTGTTTTACCGAGGGCTCTTTCTTTTTGCTCTTCTTAAGGTTCTATGTGAATAGCCTCTCTCTCTGAACCTCTTATATAGCTGAATAGATTCATATCTATACTCCAGATCTTCTGTACAGTTTCTTTTTATTCTCTGAAATTGACCAATGGGGATTCCTTGTTTTAAACTCCTTGGATGATAGCTATTAGCATGGAGAAGTGTATTAGCCGCTGTTTCCTTTCTAAATGTTTTAGTGACCAATTTATTTCCGTAGATAGAGATTGACAAATCCAGGAAAGTTATCACCTCTCTATCTACTGTATAAGTAAGTTTGATGTTTCTATCATTCTCGTTCAAGAATTCCATAAACCTTTTAAGCTCATCAATACTACCATCCCAGACCATCAGGACATCATCAATATATCGCAACCAAGTTATTGCGTATTGGTTATAGGGAGTAGAGGGATATACTAACTCCTCTTCCCATAGACCTAGATGCAGACATGCAAATGCCGGGGCCCAGGGTGCTCCCATGGAGGTACCACATATTTGCTGGTAAAAGGAACCCAAAAACTGAAAACAGTTATGGGTCAACATAAAATCCAACAAGTCCAATATAAATTCATTTTGAGCCTCCATTTCAGGAAAATGTGTCTCCAGAAAATGGGCCACAGCTTTTTGTCCCCAGGTATGTGGGATAGAGGTGTATAATGATTCCACATCAATGCCGACCAGGAGTGCACCTTTTGGCACTTTTACATTTAAGATCTTTTTAAGTACATCTCCCGTGTCTTTTACATAAGATCTGAGTTCAAAAACCAGATCCTTGATTAAATCGTCTACAAATTTGCCTATTGGTTCCAAAGGGCCACCAATGGCCAATACTATAGGGCATCCCGGTGGTTGAGAGGGGTTTTTTTGTGTATTTTTGGGATTACATAGAAGGTGGGAATATTGTATACATCGACTGTCAACATATCGCATTCCCGTTTGGTTAATAAATTTGCTTCATGTGCCAATCCCACTTTTTTATTTAAATCAACCACAAGTTTTGGGAACGGGTTATTATGTAGTTTACGATATGTATCCTGGCTCTTCAACTGTTGAAGTATCCCTCCTCCAGCCCATCATGAATGCTGCTGCCAGGCTCATCCACCTTACCAACTGTTCAGTATCTGCTACCCCTCTCTGCCAATCCCTCCACTGGCTTCCACTCACCCAACTAATAAAATTCAAAATACTAACAACAACTTACAAAGCCATTCACAACTCTGCCCCCCAGCTACATCACCAACCCGGTCTCAAAATATCATCCTAACTACTCTCTTCGATCCTCCCAAGCCCCTCTGCTCTCTAGTTCCCATGTCACCTCCTGTCATGCTCGCCTTCAGGACTTCTCCCGAGCTTCTCCCATCCTATGGAACTCCCTACCCCAATCTGTCCAGCTATCTCTTAATCTATCCACCTTTAGACAATCCCTGAAAACCTTTCTCTTTAAGGAAGCCTATCCTGTTTCTAACTAGTAAACTGCCTTTTAGTTCCTTCACCAGATCATCCCCCACAGCTATTACCTTTTGTATCACTCAACCCTTCCTCCTGGATTGTAAGCTCTAACAAGCAGGGCCCTCTGTTTCCTCTTGTACCAAATTGTATTGTAATTGTAAAGTCTACTTTCATTTTGTAAAGCGCTGCGCAAACTGTTGGAGCTATATAAATCCTGTATAATAATAATAATAATACCCAACGCCAGACACAATAGCCAGATTCTTTTCATTTACCTTTCACTACTGGAGTCAAAGCTTGACAGCTTGATCAAGTTTGTGAAGAGACAGTGAAGAACCAACAGTTAATCGATTAATTAATCTGTGTACTCTCTCTACCAATCAACAAGTTCTATTTGCAACATTTACAATGCAGTAAAGCCTGACAGTGCTGCCCTGTCTTCTCTCAGTCTAAATACTGACATACTGGGAACATGTGAGGTTAAAACATAGGCAGATTAACCTCTTGGCACTGGCGCCTCCTGGCTCTTTAAGAGTTTCAGAAACTGGGAGACGGGGCGGGGTTTTAGGGTCATGTGACCGCCATGATTCGCCGTCACGGCGGTCACATGATCGGAAAAGGTCCAGATCGAACCTTTCTGGGAGTAGTGGACATATGTGCTGGGAGCGCGCAGGGCGAGCGCTCGCAGCACATATGTGTTTTTTTTTTTTTTTTTTTTTGTATTTCAATAGTTTTTATTAGTTTTAAGCAGTATAAAAACAGAGGCGACAAAACATGCCCCCACAGGGGCTATCAATTGCACCGATAAGATAAAAAAACATAATAATAAAAGAAAAACAGTGCTCTAACTTCAACAAGGCAGAAGGTACGCCCACGCAGGGGCTATCAATGGCACATAGGTTACAATGACGGTAATGAAATTCTAACTGCAATTAAAGGCAGCTGTCAACTATCACCCAAAAAAACTAACAGAAATGGAGAGAAAGAAAGAGAAGAGAAATAAGAGGAGAGAAAAAAAAAAAAAAGAGAAGAGGGGGCAGAGATCCAAGAGCGCCACCATCAAACGTCAGTGCCTAACGCCAGTACATCCCCATACTAGCCAAAGGAAGCGTGGGAAAGGCATATTGCAACCATGGTTCCCATATTTTCGAGAATTTACATTGGGAGTCGTTGCATATGCTCGACATCTGCTCATTAAGCATCATATTGGTCATACGATCCCGCACCCCCTGAAAGGGGACAAACGGACTCTTCCAGGCCTGAGCAATTGTTCTGGTGGCCGACAGAAACAAATAGGACGCCAGCTTCTGCTGATGAGCAAAGAGACCCGGTATGGGGCAATGAAGCAAGGCATACCGAGCATCCCGGCGTATGGATAGATGAAACAACGTGAAAAGGAGGCCAAATACACGAGACCAAAAACGGACCAGTCTCGGGCATGACCACCAGATATGCAAGACATCGCCACGATGGCCACAACCCCGGAAACATCGATCCCTACAAGCGGGATTAGCCTGGGCCAAACGAGCCGGAAACCCAATACCAACGAAACAATACCTTATAGGCTGCCTCCAGCGTGGTGGTATTGAATGAGCATTTAGCTATGAGTGACCAGGCCCTATTCCAGTCCTCCGGATCCACATCCACCCCCAGGTCACGCTCCCACTGAAACAACATATGAAAGAGAAGTATGCGACGGGCGTCTGTTCAAGGCTGCATAAAGAAGGGAGATAAGGCCCGGGGCGCCCGGGCGCTGCTGGCAAAGCTGTTCAAAGGCCGATTTCTGGTATGGAAATGAAGAAGTGCCCCGCAGCGAGAGTAGCCAGTGTCGCAATTGAAGGTATCAAAAAAATTCCGCCGGGGGAACATCCCGGGACTCCCGAAGAAGATCCCAGGTAGGGAAGGACCGAGAAACCAAAAAAAAGTGTCGTACCTGCGAAAACCCATGAGCCACCCACCAAGAGAACGCCCTTGGGTGATCTAAACCCGGTGGGAAAAGAGGGTTGTTAACCTCTTGCCATCCGCCTGCTGTTTATAAACGGCAGGGCGGGTGGCAGTCCAGGGTCGGGTTGCCGTCCATAAACGGCACCCGCCTTTTCTAGCTGTGCCGCTGGGAGCGCGCACCACCCGCGATCTGTGCCCGCTGTGTCCTCCGGACAGTGAAACACCGATCGTCGGACGGGACCTCTGTGCGAGGTCCCGATCATGTGATCACTCATTGGCGAATCAGTGATCACATGCAAAGTAGTAAGCAAGATGTCACTTGTGACATCATTGCTTACTATGTGTGAAATCTGTGAATGATCACAGAGGTCACATGGTACAAGGCTATTCACAACAGCCTTGTACCATGTGACATGCTGTGACCACTCACAGCTCACTCAGTAATTCTCAATGACTGCAAGAATGCAGACAGAGAGAAAGAGAAATGATTGCTTTTACATCCTATATGGGTGTAAAAGCAATAAGTGTAAAAAAAAAAAAAAAAAAAATCTTCATCACCCTCCACAAGTAGTACAGTGTCACCATGGTGACAGTGTACTGCTAGGGTGACAGTATGTAAAAAAAAAAATAAAAAAAAAAAATAATAATATAAAAAAAATAAAATAAAATGTAAAAAAAAATGTTTAAAAATTATAATTTTTGGTTATAAACTAATTTGGATTTTTTTTTTTACTAAAAAAATAACGTAATAAATTTTGGCTAAGATTTATGATGAAATATTATTTATTTGCAAAATTTTATTTAAAAAAACACTTTTTTTCAAAATTTTTGAACTTTTTCATTTACATAGTAAAAAAAATAAAAATCCCAGCGGTGAATAAATACCACCAAAATAAAGCTTTATCTGTCTCAAAAAAAATGGTAAAAAATTCATATGGGTACAGTATTGCATGACCGCGCAATTGTCATTCAAAGTGTGATAGCGCTGAAAGCTAAAAATTGCCCTGGACAGGAAGGGGTAAAAGTGTCCGGACAGGAAGTGGTTAACAATTGGAAGCAAAGGCAGAAAGGGTGACATCAGGCCACTGGAATAACGTACCGAGTCCCAGACTCGTAAGCCATGGAGCAACATCGGGCTCAGCGATATAGGGCGCAGGGCAGGGGGAAGCCATAGAAGTGCCGACGGTTGGATAGGGGCACAGTTAGGTAGCTCCAGCAAGACCCAGAGAGGGACATCAGAGGAAGCGTGCAACATAGACAGCGGGACAATCTGGCTCGCCTGGTAATACTTAGTTACATTGGGCACCCCAAGGCCACCCTGGAGTCTATGAGCAAAGAGCGTATTTCTAGATACTCTGGGGTGCTTATTGGCCCAGATGAAACGCATAAACTTCGCCTGAAGCAACCGAAGGAAATGAGGGGGAACCCGCACCGGGAGAGTACGAAAATAATATAACAATTTCGGCAGGACGGTCATTTTCGCCGAATGAACCCGCCCTATCCAAGACAGGTGCAGAAATTGCCAGGAATGCAGAAGAGAAGATAAAGAACTAAGCAATGGGTAATAATTCGCAGCAAAGAGGGAGTCATAGGTGGGGGTCAAGCGGATGCCCAAATATTCAAGAGAGGAGGAAGCCCATTTATAAGGGAAGTAGGATTGAAGGCGTGAAACCAAATCGGAATCCAAAGTAATATTAAGAGCGACAGTCTTATCCAAGTTAATACGGAGACCCGAAATCAAAGAGAAGAGCTCAAGAACCTGTTGCAGATTAGGAAGCATCGTCAGAGGCTTAGTAAGAGACATATGTGTTTTTTAATTGCACGCAAATATGTGGCCACTCGGCATCAAGGCCCAGATACTGAGAGGACGCATATTTGCGTGCGATCGGCGTCAAGGGGTTAGGGTACTGTTTTAATAGATTTAAAGTATACCTAGTAAAAATGTTTTTTCAAGTCTATGAAATGGTTAGAACCTCTGTTATTTTTTTTTCCACTAGGCTGATTTCCCAGCTTTATTGTCTCTCCAAATTCTCTCTGAAGTGGGAAGGAAGTTGACTCCAGTACAGGAGTATCCATTGGACAATGTCCCATCTCCTCCTGGTCTAGGAGACAACTGTAGAATCCCCAGTGGTGCACTGGCAACAATAAAAACCTGAGGGGTTTAAAGTGATTTTAAGGGCTTACTTTGTTTAAAGAAAAAATAACAAATATGTCTATATTTAACTGCTGTGTGCAATGGCTTTGCACAGAGGATTACAAATAGTCGTGCCAAGAGAGTGCACTTGCATGTTCTGCGTCAGTCACTGAAGTAAAACTGTGCTGTTCAGCCATAGCTAGATCACACACACAACGCTCATACAAAGAGTCTACACAATGTTAACAGTAGAGGCAGAGGAAACACAAACGAAAGAAAGGAAAACTGTATTTTTTAACAAAATCTTAATGTGATCCTCTCTTACGTACAGAGCTCTACAAATCTCAACATTTTTTTGTTAAAGTTTTGTTCTACTTTAGGTACTTTATTTAAATACATTAAATGTACCTTTTTGCAAACTAAATTGTATTTTCAGTGTTCTACATTTATTGGAGGGTAATGTAAGAATTATAACATCTCCATGAAGTAGAAAGTTGTCACCAATCAAATGCATTCTGGTTTCCAATAATATGTAGACATCACTCACATGCATTTCAAAATCAATAAAGCTATTTTTTTGTGCAAATTTGGAAATGAAGTCAGATAACAGCTTTGCACACTCATAAATTGCATTGCATTGAAGGTGATGGATTAATTTTTTGATTTATTATGTTCTTCTCCTTCTGAGGTGATAATATGCCACTAATAAGTCAGTGCTTCACTGGTATATATGTCACTGTAACAGGTATCCAAGTTTTATGTGAAGACGAACAACTACATTAAAAGGATACAGAATGGAAATGTGAGTGACATTAACAAATCAACAGTTAAAAAGTAATGTCCTATGCTGCTGATAAATCAAAGTTATTATGCCGTAAGTATGGGGGAAAATTGACTAATGATCAATGTATGGGTAAATTACTCAAATGGAAAGAAGCAAAGGTAAAACAGGACATTGGCTTGGCAGAAGGGTATTAATAATGTAAAGTATGTTTAACTATTATAATTACACTATATAATATTAGGGTCTGGTACTATATAGTCTTAATATTTATTATGAGAATTCATAAGAAATTTTAAATAAAAATAGGTGCCTAAAGCATCATTGCTATTTTTGGCGTGTTAGAAATAGAGAAAATAGAGAATATTGATTTTAAAATGAACCTAACCTGGCCTACAATGTTTGCGCAGGAACTTTGTGCTTCCTATATGAACCCTGCTTGGTTGCTGACTGCTGCTCCTTACTACCCTAAATTGAATTTTTTACAGATGCTTATATGTACTAAACAGTGCAGTGCCTCATTTTCTCAGTTTTGCACTATTTAGATTATTTAATGATGCCTTAAGCATCTTTGTGGATATATATACACAAAACTCTATGAAAATAGGATGCTGACTTTTACCATTTAACCACTTGCTGCCCACCCACAGTAGTTGCACTGCAAGTGGGCAGCAGCTGCAGGTCGGGCAACATACAGGTATGTCGCAACCTTTCTTCCATTTGGGGTGGGCATGCTTGTGCCCCCTACCAACCCACACTGTGACTGGACACAGCACGAGTTTGGTGGCTGATTTCAGCCAATGATTTTAACTGAAGTCAGCTGATCAGCTGTGGCCAATCACGCATAGAGTTCTATGTTTATAAAAACACAGAACTCTGTGTGTGTACGGCGAACAGTAGTTTACTTGTTTCTTCGACCTGCAAAACAAGGAGAAAAAAAAGACAGATAACAAAGTAAAAGCAGCACATATTACACACATTACACATTGTTATGCACACAGTTAACCCCTTGATTGCCCTTAGATGTTAACCCCTTCCCAACCAGTGTCATTAGTACAGTGTCAGTGTACAATTTTATCACTGATCACTGTATCAGTGTCCCTAGCAATGCCAGTGTCAGTTAGTGACCATCCCAAATAGGATCTCTTGGCCAGATTGCCCATCACCCTATCACAGTCACACTATAGGTTGCTGATCACCACTGATTACAGTATAGAATTATAGCTGCGTAAATTCCAGTATATATACCAATTAATATACACCTTTTTTTTTACCAAAGACATGCAGGATTTTTGGCCTAAAATTATAAAGAACTTAAATTTTTTTTTATTGGATACATTTTATAACAGAAAGTAGAAAATATTGTTTTTTTATTTTCAGAAATGTTGTTCTCTTTTTGTTTATATCGCAAAAAAAAACCAGTGGTGAATAAATACCACCAAATGAAAGCTCTATTTGTGTGAAAAAAGATAAAACTTTAATTTTGGTACAGTGTTGCATAACCATGCAATTTCCAGTTAAAGCAGTGCAGTGCTGAATAGCAAAAAAAATGCTCTGGTCGTGACAGTAGTAAAACCTTCTGGAGCTCAAGTGGTTAATTCAGGTTTTTAAAATATTGAAATGGAATAAAGCCATCTTGACAGACTCTTAATACTCTTAAGTGCTGCTCTGATAAACAGACACAAGTGCGGTTTCCTCAGTAAGTGTACCCAGTTAATAAAAAATCCTATTTGGGAACCTCCTCCCTCAATCTGGCATGTTAACAGCCCCATTTTGTAACTTAGACCCACAGTTATGTGATCATCAGCAGCATAATTATCCATTTTGTAACTAAGTGATAATTGCAAAATGAAAATTCACATTGTGAATTGAACATGTTCTTCTCCTTTAGTAACTCAGCCCCAGTGAAATAATGTCACATCCTGGTGATATGAAAACTAGACACTGCACTACATTTATTGTGGTCCCCCAACAAAGTTTACAGGAAGCCCCATGTTTTGATTAGTGGGCAGATACAGCTCCATTTATCAGCCAAGCATTCTGTGGGAAAGGGTGTGAAGTGGGCGGGCGATATTCTCACAGCAATGTAGGGAACACCCACAGATTTCAAGGCCTGTGACTTTTTATGAAGAACATTGAGAGAGGATTACAAATACTCTTGAACAATTAAAGAACTCCCAAATCCAAGTCTTCCAATTCCAATTTGCAAAATGTTATTGAATTCCTGTGTTATTACAGATTTCAGGTAAGTGTCTGGAGCAAAAAGGGAGGCAGCAGATGAGTACAGACACCTGGGAACTGCTTATCTACCACTACATAACCACTATATACAATAAATCAATAATTTAATCTTCTACTCAACACTAGAAAAATGACACCTGGAACATGACTGGTATAGAAAACAATTTTTTATTTTTTTTTAATAACCATAGAAGAGTAAAAAAAACAGGAAAAAGAAAGGAGCAATGCTGCTAGTTACTGGGATACCATAAATATGAGTGCAAGTAAAGTGTTTGACCATAGCAACTAATACAAATGTTATTTTCTTCCTTTTTTTTCCCCAGTCTAACACTGAAGGAAATCTCCTAGTTATGTTAAGGACATACATTGAAGAACGTTTATTACAGATAAAAGCTATGGGTTGTTTTAATTTGCACATTGATGTTTGCCCTATTAAATAAGCCTGTATAGGCCTGGCTTGCTGGCATCATTCTCTTGGATAAAGAGATCATGTTTGGTCACTGCAAAGAAAAGCAAAATAATTGGAGGGAATGCAAAAAATACACATGGCAAAGAACAGATTAATGACCATTTACAAAATAAAAGAGCAAGTAGCATGCAATAAGATAATAAGGTAATCATTAGAATTTATATGCTGGTAATTCCATACAAACAAATTGTTCATCCAAGCCAACATGCTGCTTTGATAAGATATACCCAAATCTGGGACTAAAACTGTTAAGAGATATATACACTCAATTAAAAATCTTTCCCAAAATATTTTAAAATGGATCAGGGCACAGCTGTTTTGATATGTGATGGGGCCACATACTATACAATATTAGTTAGGCCCCATCTTTCAGATCTCCATTTTGAAGATTATTCTGATATAATGATACAAAGTACTAATTGTTTTCTTTTACAAAGGTGTTTATTGACAGGTCTAGACAACTTATACATCCAGAATTCAATTAAACATTTTATTAACACAAAAAAGGGAAATATGCAAAACACTGTAAGACAGCATACTGCAAACAAATCTATTATATAACAGTAGTTTGATCGACATGTTATAGCTTATCAATTCTCAGAGGTTCATAGGTATAGCTTGGACAAAATAGAATGGTGACCCTATGTTAGAAGTACAGTTAAGGTTTAAAAAAAAAGGGGGGGGGGTTTGAGGAGATGGAAAGAGAAGGGGGTGGGTAAGGAAGGAAAGGGCTTGGGGAAAAGTCCCAGATACTAATTGTTATCATAGTAGTTATATAGAGGTTTACAAACTTCATATTTGTTATTTTCATCCAAATGTATTTGTCAAATGCTACTGCTGCATAACTGCTATTACCGCTGTGCTTCTGGTCCATAAAGCAGTTGAATGAAGTGCTATGGCTAAAGTTA